GGCTGCTGWGATGACAGCACCTGCAGCGCAAAGCAGGAGTAAGGGAGAACAGGAGAACTTATTTCTAGAAGCAGAGCGGGTTGGAAGATAGTTATTTGATGTTATTTATTGTTTTATTTAAACATCCTACAGGCTCTAAGATGTAGAATAAAATTGAAACTGAGTTTTTAAAAAATCAGTGAGATTGCTTTATACCTTAGTAAACCTACAAAATGAGGGAAAATCTGTATAAATTACAGACAATCTGTACAATTTATGTTTCTTCAAACTCAGGTCATGCAAAGTGCTACCTACAACAGGTAAGATATTGTTTGCTTACATTTTTTTCTAAAGAACATCTCTTTTAAAGGTCTGAGTACCTTTTTAAAACTCTGTGTCCTGACTACTAGAACATTAGCATCTGGACACYCTGCCAACCTTGTGATTAGTCGAGAACCTCCTGGACCATACCTCCAGAGTGGAGAGAGTTTATTTCATTCGCTCACCTGATCTGCTCTCACACTCTTATTTTACGGGAACACACGCTCGCACTTAATACCCAACCCACTTAAGTGTCCTTTTCGCCTCTTTGGGTCGTCTGTGGAACACTGTCAAATTATCGCCAGATGTTCTGGGGTTCTGGAGTCGGATGATGCACAACACGACCCAGTAGTGACGTCAAAGAGACCCTCCTCCTTGATGTTTTTCTTGGGTTTTGTCATCTCTCCTGTGAGTCAAACAAACAGMGTTGTCAAGGGTGATTTTTAGTGACCAATAAAAGATGCATGCATGGATAAGAGGCAGTGTATACTGAAAGCAATAAATAAGGCGTATTAGTAATAAACTCCCCAGTGGATAATATTATCTTATCTCTAGCTTTAGTGTCTTGTTTGGGAAAATTCCTCTGTTGTTAAAGAATGAAAAAAAAAAACATTGTTTACGCCAAAAATCTTTCCTCTGTACGCCCAATGTTTTTTTAGTTTTATTAAAATATTTTTTTAACCTGTACATTTAACACATCAGGTAATGTACTCATTAAAAGCTCATAAAACCATTCTCAAAACTTCAACCATATTTAGACTTTACCAGCTTGTTTCCAGTCACAGGTTTGCCACCACACGTAGGTCTGAATCTGTGGGGTGAGCTAATTTTCAAGAAATGATGAGGGTTTTAGTAACGGCTGACTCGCAGCTCATTTTATAAGGGTGTGGCGACTCAAAGTTTGTTAAGGAAGGGTCAGACTAGTTTTCTGACGAGTAAATGAAAGCAAAACAAAGTGTTTTGCTGTGTGGTCACTTACAGGGTGGCTCTTTTTCTTGCACATCTGCGAGCAAAGTAAAACGATACATAAATGTATTTTTTTTWAAGTTTTGTTGACTCCAGAGAAAGAAAAAATCTTTATTACGTCATGACTGCTGAGGCACTCCACCCTCTCTGCGCTCTATTTCCCCATCTCCATGTGTCTGGCCTCCCAGACTCTCCCACCCACTGCTCCACTTCGCCTGTTCTGTGCTGCTGCTGAAGTGTGTGTGTGTGTGTGTGTATGTGTGTGTGTGTATGTGTGTGTGTGTGTGTTTTCAGTTTAGTGTTACTGACACTGTGGCCCAGCAGTTTTATGTGCCATGTTTTGTACAGAACATGACTCAAGGTCTACATTTGCTTCCCAAAACTCTTCCACCTATCCCTTTGATCACGACAGTTTTTCTTTTACCCTATTTGTACAAAACCTGGTGTTGATGCTTATTTTCCTGTTTGTTGTTTTTTATTTCACATTTGTGCAATCTTACTGCTACCTCATGCTCTTTTAGACATGAATGTATCAGAACATAAAGCTCATTTATGTGGATATGACATTTTTTTGTAGATGTTGGACTTTTAAAAATATATCTTTATGGGTTTCCTATAGAAATAAGKTAGCTTATAGAATATTGTCATGATCTGTGTCTTTGCTTTAGTTTTCTAGTGTTTCAGTGTTCCCTTGTGCATCTCTCCCCTGCTCCAGCCCCACCCATGCTCACCTGTTTCCCCTTGTGTCTCCTCCAGGTGTTTCTTGTCCTTAATTTGTTTGTCTTTATATTCTGTGTCCTGTGCTTAGTTTGGGTCATCATCATCATCATCATCATCATCGTTTATTTATAAAGCACAATAAAAACCAAAGTGCTGTACAGGAGCATAAAATAAAAACAATGAACCAAGTACAGTAATAAAATGAACAATAAAATCAAACAAAACAGCAAAGGCTGGTCTAGTGATCCTGCTCTTCAGACTCAAATGCCTGTTTAAACAGATGAGTTTTTAACAGATTTAAACTCACTTAGAGACCCAGCAGACCTCACAGACAGTGGGAGATTGTTCCAGAGCCGAGGTCCTGCATCTGAAAAGGCTCTGTCTCCCCTGGTCACAAGCCGAGACCTGGGAACAACTAAAAGCTTTTGATTTACATATCTCAGGGATCTATTTGGAATGTGAGGCTGTAAAAGCTCAGTGAGATAATGAGGTGCCAAACCATTTAGACATTTGAAAACTAAAAACTAAATCTTAAAAAGAATACTAAAAGAAACAGGCAGCCAGTGAAGAGAATACAAAATCGGAGTGATGTGTTCGCGACGTCTTGTCCCTAAACGGGCAGCTGAGTTCTGAACTAGCTGTAGACGACGAACCAAAGACTGATCCATCCCACAATAAAGAGAGTTGCAGTGGTCCAGTCTAGAAGTGATAAAAGCATGAATTACCCTCTCAAGTGCATTATGAGGCAGGTAATCATTGACTTTACTTATAAGTCTCAAATGATAAAAGCTAGACTGGACTACTGCACTGACCTGTTCTTTAAATTTAAAATCAGAATCCAAAAACACCCCAAGATTTCTAACAGACACACGGCCAGGCAAAGGGTCCAGTGGTCCAACAGCACTACTGCATCCTGTCAGTTTATCAGAGTTACCGAATAAAATGACCTCTGTCTTTTTATCATTAAGATAAAGAAAGTTCAGGTCCATCCATGCTCTCACGTCTTTTAAGCATTCAAGTAACCTATTTACAGACTGGGATCTGCTAGATCTTAATGGAAGATAGACCTGAATGTCATCAGCATAAAAATGGTATGACACGTTATATTTGCGAAAAATAGATCCCAGGGGGAGCAAGTAAAATGAAAATAAAATTGGCCCTAATATGGAGCCTTGAGGTACTCCATACTGAAGGGTCAGTGTTTTTGTGCTGCTTTCCTCGGCCTGTGTGATCTCTCTGTGTTCCTACTGAGATTTTGGTAAGCTTTGGAGCTGTTTTGCCAGCCATTTTGAGTTTATTATTAAAACCTTTTTGCCATTTTGAGTTTATTATTAAAACATTTTAGCCATTTTGAATTGTGCCTGTGCCCTGGGTTTTTCCCTGCTTGAACCTCACAAATATAACATAATAAAATAGGTTTCCTATAGAAATAAAACAAGTTTTCCTCAGTTTCTTTAAAAACACTGTTCTTCTTGAAATCTTCACCAAACTTACCATATTTTTTGCCTTTTAATTTAGCTTTTAGCTGCCATTCTGCTAGATACTTCTAGAATGCAGAATTTTATTTTTAGTCTTTAGCTAGCATTCAGCTCACTTTAGCTTTTGCTATTCTTTTGCTACTATAGTTTTTAGCCAGTGTTTGGCAATTTGTATTTGTTTAATAATTTTTATCTTTTGTTTTTGATGATTCTAGCCACAGATTTGATTCTTTTAATTGGCTTTGCTAGACTTTTTGCTACGTTTTAGCTAGGATTTTACTACTCTTAGCTTTTAAGTTGACATTTTGCTCTTTTAAGCTTGAGTAACTCAGTTTCAGGTTGTTAAACAGTTAGCATTTACACCGTTGCAGAAAATATAGTTTCTTCATGGATATATATTTACTCTGAATATCTCTACTTAACTGTTTTCTGTCACTTATGACTTTTACTTTCCAATTTTTTTCTTTTTATCTCTACTTTGCATTATTTCTCCACTTGAAAACCAAAACCTGACATCTTGTGACCTAATGAGATCTTAACAATAAAACTACAGAAAAAAAAGTAACACAAGGTCAACACATATTTAAATACTGTGAATTTTCCTGCTGCTGTGTTTGAGAGCAGACACAGTGGCAGGAGACACACCCTGGAAGAAATGTTTGCTCACAAAATAAGGCAAGCTGGTGACTTTTGCACGCAAAGTATGAGGCACAAGCCAATGAGCTTTAAAAAGAATGTAACTTTATGAGCACCTGAATGGGTGCCTCACTGGCGACAAAGGAAACAGCAACAAAGAGTCTTGGTTAACAAATACGACAGTGGGTGTGAATGTAAAGCCGATCCCTAATTTTACATGCTTCATGGCTGCTTCTTAAAAAGATGAAAAATTATACCCCATCATAGCTGCAGGATTCATTAGAACTGCAGCTTTCTTGCCTGTCCTGCTTTATAATAATCAAAAAATAACATCAATCTTAACAGCAATCTGGTGAAATCACATTGTTATGGCGCCATCTTGTGGCCGAAGGCCGCAAGTAAAAGTTGATCAAACTACTTATAAACTAAATTAAATGCTTCTGATAATGGCCACGTTTGCTTGTCTTGAGTCGGGTTGAGTAAAACGGAAAACAAAAACAAAAAAACAAATCCCCCCCAAAAGCCTGGCAAACTCAACATTCTGCAATTTAAAAAATGATTWAAAAAATCTAAATGTCTCTTAGCACAACACAGCTGTTATAAATGTGCAAAATACCTTTTATATTTGAGTTCATTAAATTTACCAGATAAATGATTTACATTGCATTTTAATGGACTTGTTTTTATGAAATATAAAAATTATTTTTGATGTAACAAAACAGAGTCTATTTTTAAACAATATTCATCAAATCATTTGAACTTTATTCGATTTAATAAATCTCAAACTACTAGAACTGTGAAGCAAACCAATTAAACTGCATTACAGCTGAGTTTTTTTTCACCAACATCCTTCTGACATCTCTAACTTAGACATATCCATAAAAAAATGAAAGACCCAACTACATTTGTTATGATTAAATTTATTTACAGATCTCAGTGGGAGATATTCTCCCTTGTGCAATAATACTTGGCAGAATAAAACTGTTTTTCAATAAACCAGCTAAGTCCTTAGACACAAGAAACTMCAAACATAAACAGCCTTTTAAATGCAGATGATTTCAACCTGTTTAGTCGTATTGCAGTCACACACTGTTGTGACAATAAAACCCCACGAAATGTACAACTATTTAAAATAAACAAAATGGATACAAAGCAAGGCAATGTGAAAATAACTGGAAAAAAAATTAATTTAAGGGGGGGTTGGGTCACTTTGGGGTAAAAGCCATACAATAAGATACTTTCAGATATTAATAATAATAATAATAATAATAAAAACTTTGATTCCTAAATCAAGCACACTGCAAGTTTAGGCACATTATCAATCACACGCCATAAAATATTCTGCATGCTAACAAAGAAAACACTACACATACYTTTGTGAGCTTATTTAAAATGGCAATTAAAGAATAACAAAGTCAGGGGAAAATGAAATAGGTTGTCGGTGTTAGCACAAAAGGCAATGCTAAAATGACTGGATTTTAGAAACGTCTGACAAGAAGAAAGGGATGAGACAATGCATTCAAACACGCCAAATAAGTGATGACAAAACATCTTTCTTTTAGGGGGTGGGGGGATTAAATGTTTTTTCTTTTTCTTTGGACCATTGAGTTGGAAGCAGAACCATTTTGAAGATCATTTGGAATCCTCTGCTAGTGGGAGTAAGAGTACAACGATGTTCTTGAAGATGGTCCCCATTCCTCTCAGCCTCAGGGAAGTTTGTTCTGGAGCAGAATAATGCAGGGAAGCACAACGAACAACCACATAAAGGGGGGGGGGGGGGGGTGGCTGTGGCACAGAGGAGCAAGGTGACAGCTGGTCTGACTTCAGAAGCCTGAAGGTGTTAAAACATTCATGTCCCGAGGTTTAAGTTTGTGTGGTCGCTGTGAAACCTGCTTGGGTTCAGAGACTGAGATTTCAATCTTGGGGGGCATGAACTTGGCAGGGTCTTCCACCTTGAGGTTGATCTGGGTGTTTGTGCCATCCATCGTGGAGGACTTGTGCAGGCCAAAGTAGGATTGCAGCGAGAAGCCTACAGGATAAAGATGTTGTAGTTAATAATAACCTAAAAAAAAAAAAAACCTTTGTGATAGTAAAACAAAGCCTTGTACAGTGCAGATGTTGAAACCCCTCACCTGTGCTTGTTTCGGAGCCAGGATCCGTGGGAGATTTGTGCACCACGGACCGAGATCCAAAGAGGTTCCACCTGTCCAATCCACCTCCGCCTCCTTCATTTCCTCCCATGTCTACGTGTAGGTTTAATCCTTCCGGCTCTGGAATTGTAAGACAAGGTGCTGAACTTATCTGCCGCCAGTTCCTGTGCAAAGGGAAAAAGACAGGAAAATACAAGAAAAACATCAGATTTATCACAAGGCACAAAAAAAGTTACTTCTCTACATTATGACAATTTAAGAGGAATGTTTAAAAAGCAGGGTGCTCACCTGCGATTAACAGCTGGTGACGAGTGGGGCGTGACAGTGGGGGTAACAGAGGGGGTGACACTCGGGGTCGATTGTGCAGATGTTGTGAGCCTGTCCTCCTTGAAGTCCCCACTTGGCATTCTCAACTTCTGCTCAAACAGAAAAAAAGACAAACACTTAAAGAACCAATTCACCGGACCACACTCAGCCTGCAAATTTAAACATAATAAATATGTGTACATGTTTTCACTGTTGTCAATAAGCTGATTAAAGCTGCAACGCCAATCTTATTAAGAGAGCAAACATCTGAAGTACACGATTCAAGAGGTCAAGTGTGTATCAGATCAAAACTACAGTCATGGCCAAAAGTTTTGAYAATGATTCAAATGTTAATTTTTACAAAGTCTACTGCTTCAGTTTTTATAATGGCAATTTGCWRATACTCCAGAATGTTATAAAGACTGATCAGCTTAACAGCAATTAATTGCAAAGTCAATATTTGCCTAGAAAATTAACTTCAAGGAGAGAAGTTCCATGGTTGCCAAAAAGGCTCCAGGGRGCCCAAGAAAGACCAGCAAGCGCCAGGACCGCCTCTTAAAAGTGTTTCAGCTGTGGGATCGGGCTACCAGCAGTGCAGAGCTTGCTCAGGAATGGCAGCAGGCAGGTGTGAGCGCATCTGCACGCCCTGTGAGGCGGAGACTCTTGGAGCAAGGCCTGGTCTCAAGGAGGGCAGCAAAGAAGCCACTTCTCTCCAGGAAAAACATCAGGGACAGACTGATATTCTGCCAAAGGTACAGGGAGTGGACTGTTGAGGACTGGGGTAAAGTCATTTTCTCTGATGAATCCCCTTTCCAATTGTTTGGGACATCTGGAAAACAGCTTGTTCGGAGAAGACGAGGTAAGCGCTACKACCAGTCTTGTCTCATGCCAACTGTAAAGCATCCTGAAACCATTCATGTGTGGGGGTGCTTCTCAGCCAAGGGAGTCGGCTCTCTCACAGTCTCACCTAAAAACACAGCCATGAATAAAGAATGGTACCAGAATGTCCTCCGAGAGCAACTTCCCCCAACTGTCCAAGAGCAGTTTGGTGATGAACAATGCCTTTTCCAGCATGATGGAGCACCTTGCCATAAAGCAAAGGTGATAACTAACTGGCTCAGGGAACAAAACATAGAGATTTTGGGTCCATGGCCTGGAAACTCCCRAGATRTTAATCCCATTGAAAACTTGTGGTCAATCATCAAGAGACGGGTGGACAAACAAAAACCTAGGAATTCTGACAAAATGCAAGCATTGATTGTGCAAGAACGAACTGCTATCAGTCAGGATTTGGTCCAGAAGTTGATTGAGAGCAAGCCAGGGAGAATTGCAGAGGTCCTGAAGAAGAGGGGTCAACACTGCAAATACTGACTTGCTGCATTAACTCATTCTGTCAATAAAAGCTTTTGTTACTAATAATGATTGCAATTGTATTTCTGTACGTGATGAAAACATCTGACATTCACGCACGAAAACCAGAGGGCAGCAGATCATGTGAAAATATAATATTTGTGTCATTCTCAAAACTTTTGGCCATGACTGTAGTATCTGCATCCACACATCATCCGCTACTGCAATGGTTCCCKATCCTGGTGCTCAAGTACCCCTATCAAGCATGTTTTACTTGTTTCCCTGCTATTCAGCAGGTCTTCAGAAGATTGTTAATCACTCATTCATTCAAACCAGGTGTGRCAAATCAGGGAAACATCTAAACATGCAGGAAATGAGTCCTTGAGGATCAGGGTTGAGAATCACTGCTTTAACACCTTATCTGATTTATTATTTACAAATAAAGAATCAATGACTTCCAGAGGCAATAATAAAAAACATAAAACTGAGTCAATATTATATTTTGAAAATGCCTCATCAAGCTCAGACAAGCTCTTGAGGCGTTGGTCAATATTTAAAGCAGTGATTTTCAGATGTTTCCCTGATTTGACACACCTGGTTTGAATGAACGAGTGATAAACAATCGTCTGAAGACCTGCTGAAGAGCAGGGAAACAAGTCAAACATGTTGGATGGGGTACTTGGGGACCAGGGTTGGGAACCACTGCGCTACTGTACATGTGTGAAGGGAGGGGGAAAAACCTATAAACTGGATGGAAATTCCAGCTCTAACGAATAACAAGAGGGAAACAAAAACTGAACAAGAACAATGACCTCACACATTCACCTGCCGTGTCACAAACAAAACATTCTCGGTTCATTTTCTTCGTTACAAACACAAAAACAGTTTAAAACAGTTTAGTCTTTTGTTATATTTGATACCTATTGCACCTTTACACCGAAGCAAATTCCTAGTCTGTGAATCCTGTTCATTGACAATAGCAATAAAACAGATTCTGACAAAGATAGTGTTTACTGGATTTCGTAACAACAGAGAGTTATTGTAAATATTTATACACACAAAAGGCAACTGTTCAAGGGCACGCCTTACATTGGTAAAACTTCTATAAAGATGTTAGTGGCACAAATGCGGATTATAGAGGGCAAAACAACACTGAACCCTTGAAGAGTAACCGAGTGTTTTGTTATCAGTTAGCTTCGAAGCAAAAATGCTAGCTAACATTTAGCTGTTAAGCTGATCGCGGCTAAGTCATCACATATATACTGTATATACACGGACGTGTTGCTTTTACTAAGTATTGGTTTATTTCTCTTTAAGTTTCTGTTGTAATTTTTAAGCAAAGCCGCTTTACATCCGCTAAAGTTACGGCACAATCAGCTGTTTTCTTGTGTTAGCTCCGCTAGTAGCATGCTAAGCTAACGGCCTTCTTCTTTTAAGAAGAAAACGTATAAAGGCTCGTAACGAAACAAGACATTTTCTCGACACAGACCTTTTTATGATAAGCTTTCTTAGACGTCTCAGTTCGATGGCAGTCTTCATTTTGTCCATAATTCGTTTCAGTGATAATTATTGTTTTTCTGGAAAATTCCGACGCGGCCTGCTGCTGTATTTGCCGAACCAAATCGATCTGTTTATGTTACGAGCTCGGCGATTGGTCCTTCTCAGACACGAACCTCGGTTCGTGGAAGGCAGTTGCCAGGTAACAGCGCCGAATCACAAAAGCTTGTTACGTAATTTGTTTACCAAGTTGTTCTAGATATTGTTTCGCAGGCTTTCACTGTATTATTACACGATTTACACATTTGATCACAGAACATATTCAAAACAACTGCCACTTTTCTGTAAGTAGGATCGTTTAAATATCTATTTCTACATCTACATAAATGTTTTCTAGCTGGTAGAACCTGAACATGGGGTAGGCCTTGATAAAGCTGGCATGCAAAGTTGATGCATCTGCACAGGTAAATAAAACATTAAACTGTGTTCCACTCACAGATACTGTGTGAATATTATAAAGTATCAATTTACTCCTTCATACATATGAAAAGTACCCAATTTTTGCTGTCTGGGCAAAACTTTGTTCCTGTTTTTAAAGTTGTGACAATGTGACATTATGAAATCAAACTTTGTGTCTGTTGGAGAGAGATATAACTAATCCTGAAGAAAGTCAAGTATAGACCGCACTCGCAAACTTCTGCAGTTTGACATCTTATCCTTATTATCTTATCCTCTTATCCATCAGGCGTCATTAGAGATTCTTCATAGGTAGACAGATAAGTATGCAGTTGAAATGAAAGTCACGCTTTATATGTGTGGAAAAAAACTCAGATTGGCTCAGGGACAAATCATGCCCAAGTTGCTGGCACCTCATTTCCCATTTGTTTGTACTTACTGGCATTTTGCCATCAGTTAGTCGATGGAGGCGAGTCTCCTCTGCAGAGAGGCCCTTGTGGGGTGAATAAACCGTTTCTGTCAGTCCTGCCTGGTGCTCAAACCTTTCAAGGTTTTCTTGGGATTGCTCTGAGTGTAGTTGGAAAAACAGATGCAATTAGTTCGTATTAACGTCCAGATCTCCGTACGTTTAAGGCTTCCAGGAAATCCTGCAGTTATTACTCACTTATCATGAGGGAGCTCATAAACGTGGAGGCTTTGGCCTTTACAACAGACACTGCAGACTTTTGTTGCATTTGTGCCTCTTGTACCAGGTGCTTGTCGTCATTCTCAGTTACCTAATCACACAAGTTTTATAGTTTTAAGGATTGATTTATAATCTAACAGACAAGTACATGAGTCCAAAGTGTCCAATCTACTTCTGCATTAGAAAATTTAAAGCACCAAGAAGCACCTCGGCTGCGTTCCTAAACTTGTGATGGGGGATGACGGGGTCTTTCCAAAGGAAGTTCATTGTCACGTCCACGGGGGGTGAATGCATGGGGGAATCTATGTGCTCATCGTAGCTAATGTTGTGCCGAGTCATCCTCATGGGAGATGACAGATGGCCACAAAGACCTGAGGACAGGCCAGACTCGAGGGCTGAAAAATGGTGGCAAAAAAAGGACAAATTATAGCGTACTTTGGAAAAACAATTCACCATTATTGATTAAGACCTTCTTGTTTTTTTCATTATGTTGCATCAAAACATAAACATTACCTGGAATATCTCCTCGCCCTGAAGCCATGATGACACCAGATCAGGGTGTGAAGTTCACTTAAACAAACACTGGAGGTTGACAGTGGACTCAGACCTGCGTCACATGACATCACACCATGTTAAACCAGTGAAACAGGGTAACAATTTGTAGCAGTCRTTTTACATAAAAACAAAAAACATCCAGTGTCCATGGGCTAATGATGGCAAAGTGAAAGAGAAAAACGTCCAAGATGGAATTTCCAAGACACAGAGAGAGGTGCCCTGTTTCCTGCCTGCTCCACACAGGAATGTAGCTGCAGTGTTGGTTTAAATCAGTCATTATCAGCTCCCAGCAGAACAACCAAGATGTCCTGCAGAGGGCTCAGTTTTCACATGGAAATCAAACATTTGACATGACAGTATCGGCCTCCTCAGTTTCACCTGAAACCCTGCATAAATGAACTTGAAAAATCTGACATGATCTACAAATTTGGTYTCAGAATCCACCCCTTCTCAGATTTATTGCTTAGTGGACTGCTGCTTTCCAGACTGTTGTTTATGCCAGGACTAAGGGAAGCTGTGACTTGCAAAAAAAAAGAGGAAGACAATATAATAGCTTTGAAAGTTGGAGCTATAAAAACAAAATTAACTTCAATGTTACATTACTTTTAAGTGATCCTTTAAACATTTAACATACTTGTCATGCCTGTAGTTTGTTAGTTACARGAGTGCACTTCAGCTCACCTCTGCTGTCAATATTTCCTTCCCCCTCAGTGAAATAACTGCACACAGGCGGCGGTGTCTTCGCAGCAGCTGTCGGGTCGACGTGGCAGATCACAGGGAAGACGGCAGCATGTTTGCTCACCGGTGAGTTCAGCCATGACTTTTGGACGTGCAAACAGCAGTGGGGACAGAAACACACGGCAGCAGTGGTGGAGGGGGTAAGCTCTCTGCCAGCAGGCGGAAGTGACTGAATGAAACTTGAAGCCCCGCAGAGAGTCTGGCTCTGCAACGTGAAAAGCCAGAAATGTCTCTGCTTTAGTTTGAAACTCTTTGTGTTATATGCAGATCTGTCCCAGGAGGGCGGCTATGTTACACAATTGAGACACACACAGGCAGCAGGACTGTTTTAGGCTACTTGTTTATCTGCAACATGATGATTCTGTGATTGACTTACCGTATTTATTTGTGTATAATACGATTTCATGTATAATACGACCCCCCCCTTTTTTTGAGCTTAAAAAGCATTAAAATTCAATCCTCAAACTACCTCCAATTTCATACAGATGTCAAGATTTTTCAGCCTTTGCAGTCTTTATACATATTGGTAAAATGATCATTAGACTGTTCATTTTATTTTAACAACATACTATGCACTAAAAGGTATTTTGACAACAAATATATACCAGCTGTAGCAGCATCATATGAATTCTGGCCTTTTAACCGTAGTCCACCAGGATGCGCCAACACAACAGTCAGAGAGTTCACATGAGATTTCGACCATCTTCTGGGGGAAAAGCAGATTACTTCCTACTCGCGAGCGCCCCTTCTGGTGGGGAAACTTTTTTTTCAGGGATACAAACTTTTTCAGAACACCGGTAGACAGCCGCCATTACAGACGAACATGTGTTTGTTGTTGTTCGAGGAGTGGCCCAGTCACATGCTGATGTCATTAGTTAACTATCATTACTAAGGTGCAGGACTACTTTCCCCCCCTTTTTTTCACATCATGTTGCCTGCTTGGATCTGTTACTACCTCACTGAGGCATGAAGGAGTGTGAGGTAAGCTAGCCTGGTAAAAACCAGACCCTCTCCTTCACTTTGCTTCATACGAGGGTCTGGACTTTCTGCTATTGAGAAGTGATTCTTGCAGGAGGCATGGCCTCTGCTGAAGCGTGTGTGTGTTGCTGCGAAGGAGGCTAAGCTAAGAAGCTAACCAGAAATCGTGTGCGCTGTAAACAACCCTACCGAGAGGAGAAAAGTACCGAGCTGAATGAGACGGCTGTAAATGAGAGCTGCTGCTTTGTCAGACAAATTTAATTTAATTTGGAAGCCTTATCAACACGGACTGGCTTCATTCACTTCCTCCACTGCCGTATGCTAAAATAACTAGCAGAGACACTGCACAGAACATCGACATCATTCATAACTCTGCCTTCTGTTTGTTGATTGGCCCAGGTAAAACAAACTACAAGCAGACACTGCGCGGAAAATTGACGTTCTGCACTCTGATTGGCCCGGCTAAAAATCTGCCAGCAAAATCCTTGTCTATGGGAGAAATCCCAGACGGAGCAGAGAAGGGAAACTAGAATTGAGCGGAGCTGCGTAGGAAGGCAAGTGCCAGGCTAGAGGTAAGCTTGCTTCGACTGCTTTTTACAACGCGGTCTCATTTCCGGAGTCAGGCATTTTGTGAATGAAGCCAATATTTCAGTTAAAATACATAAGTAAAAATATTTATCCAAGTATAATACTACCCCCCAACTTTATGGATGATTTTATGGATTTAATTTTACGTATTATACTTGAATAAACACGGTACCTCTTCAAGTTTTGCAGAAGCTTAAAGGAGCAATATTGTGTTGRTCAGGCATATATTTAATTTCTATGCCATAATAAAAGTAACTATGTCACCATCAGTTGTTATTAAAATGTTGTTTATATGTTTAAATAAGGAAAAAAATTTAGTGCGCACAACTCAAATTTCCTTATAAAAAAGGGTAAAGAGTAAATGGGTGCCTGGTTCTGAATAATCAAAATAATAAAAAAAAAGGGGATAACCAACACTACAAAAAATACCATGGTTTTAATAAGGGCAGAAAACAGGAAGTGTTTCGGCTACATGCCGTCGTCAACTTGTTACAGATCAGACACTATATGTTTAAATAAAAATAAACTTGACTTCTCATTATATCTATTTCTAGACACCTTGAAATTGGCCTCTGTCTCTCTAAGAACCTCCTTCTGCTTCTGTCCTGCCCATTTCAGCCTGGGGCCATGTGTGTGTGTGTGTGTGTGTGGCTGCCCGACCTGACCCTGTAGCACGATCCATACTGTCAGCTCATTTGTGCATGCGCTAAGTGATAGACTTCTAGAATGTGCACAATTTAGGAAAAAATACTGAAAACAATTATTTCTATACTTAATTATAAAGGTGTGTTCAATTATATTCTAAAAACAGTTTTAAGTTTGTATACATTTTTGATTAATAAATTATAGATTTATGATGCACATATATTTATTTACTGAGCCCGCGAGGGGACATGGGGGATTTTTTTTCTTGTTACGTTCCCATGCAAAAGTATTGCGTTACCTCGCAATACCTTTTGCGTTCCCTCGAAAAAGTCGTTTATCACTTGTGCCTGTCGGTTTATTAAAAAACTCACATGTTTACCATTAGCGAGTTAGCCTACTGCTTTAATTCAGCTTTAGAATGAATACATCACACAACCACGCATGGAAGTGTGTCTTATGCCAATATTTTAACACAGTGCAGCCACGCAACATCAATGTCAATTTCACGAACTTGTGGCGACACATCCTGTTTTGGTAACTGGATATTTAAAAAAAATTCTGTTTTAATGCAGTTCATTTACAAATCCAACTTTTGTGTGGGAACACAAAACAATATTGCGAGGTAACGCAAAAGTATTGCGAGGGAAATCAAAGTTATTGCAAGGTAACGCAAAAGTATTGCAAGGGAATGCAAAGAAAAAAAATCCCCCCATGTCCCCTCGCGGGCTCCGTATTTATTTATAATAACTTGCAAACTATTTTCTAGACAACCGTGTTGTAATTCATCTTATCTTTATTTTTTTTTCCAAGAACAAAAATCCACAGCTGCTGCACGTTGCCTTTTCTTTGAAACATTGCAGTTGATGAAAGACTGAAATCGAATGAATTTTGTCATCAGTCTAGCGAAATGCACATGCTAAAAACAATACTTGTACGGATCGTGCTTCTGGTACGGATCAGGCAGCCACAGTGCGTGCTCTGTGATGAGGAAGCTCAGCTTGGAGACACAGCCCAGAGGAGGAGCTGATCCCAAAAGGRGGTCCTAGTCCCAACCAGTCGTTTTTGCTCACCTGCCTGGCTGCCTCAGGACACTACAGGATTTCTCAAACATGCATGAATGAGTCAAAGCAAGCCTTTGATGAGAGGATGACATTATAACATGATATAAAACTAAAAAAAAAAAGATTTTACATGATATTGCCCCTTTAATCTCTCATTTATTCAAATTAGATGTGTTGGAGAAAAAATACCTCTTAAACACATGTATCAAACTCCAGGCCTGTGGGCCAAATCCATCACTCATTAACATTTTATCCAGCCCCACGTGCAATACTTTAACTGTGATGTTTCTCTTTTTTGTTTACCTCTTATGACAACAAGCCAACTTTCAAGAATACACGCTCAGCATACCTGTCCCTTTAGATGTTTATTTGTATCTTAACACTCCAAAATCTGCAATTTTCACAAAAATTCTGTATTTAAAAAAAAAATTAATTAGAGGGAGGGACGGCAGTAGTTCAAGCGGACTGTCAGCCACAGGGAAAGACAGAATGTGGGACAGAGGTAACAGCACCTGCGGTGCTGGGAAAAGGGAACAGGAAAATGGAGAACTTAATTCAGCAAAGCAGGTTAGGAGATGGTTATTTAACTTAATTTTTTTACATCCTACAATCTCTGAAACATGAAATAAATTTGAGCTTTTTTAAAAAAATCTGTTGTATTTGAAAAAAAAATCAGTGAGTTTGCCGTACATATGTATGCCTGCAAAACGACGACAGTTTATGGACAGTCAGTATAACTTGACTTGTTTTCTTAACTTTAAGGTGCATTAGTTCAGAAGAAAAATGAAGAACTTATTCAGCCAAGCACCAGCTGCCACTGGTGCCGCTGGTGCTGCTGGTTTCACTGTCGATGCTGGTGCCAGTGGTGGCGCTGAAGCCGCTGGAGCTGGTGACATCAGTAGGGTTGGAGGTGGAGGTTTTCCTCGCCTTCCTAGAGATGACAACAAAGCAGGCATTATAAATCACAGTTTGATTCAGTCGACAATTAATGTTGGAGGTTGGGTGATCGGCGTATAAACAATCAGATTATTTCAATACTCACATGAAACGAGCTATCATCTTTTTCACGGCCTGCAGRTCAGTGTTCAGGCAGTAGCGATAGCCATTTTCACTGGTGACACTGTTGGATTGGATAACAGAGGTTAGTTTTGTTACAACATGATGGATAAAAGTAAATCAACTCAAATGAAACCATAGATAGTTTGCTCAGGAAGTTAGATATGACGGCTGTCGTTGTGATTTTAGTTTTTTTATTTACTTTTTTATGAAAATGAGTATAAGAAATAAGTGTCAAATGTTGGAATTTCAGATAGCATCTCATGACTTCTTACACAAGCTCCACTCTGTCACAGAAGATAGTTGCCGGGTAAAACTGGATGTCCTTTGGACTGGACTTTGAGTCGATGCCATTTCTGAATCGCTGACACAAACAGCTCTGTCCAGCTTCATTGACAAAAAAGAAAAGGGATAGCATCAAAAATCCATTTTCATGTAAAAAGTAATACATCTTCAAATAATGCATAATGAATTCAAAACTCACGCTGGACTTCAGCGACGCAGGCCACCACAGCCAGGAGCAGGAACACCTTGATAATGCCGGACATGGAGTTCTTGTTCAGGTCGAGACMATACTGGTGCTGGTTTGGTTTGTGAGCTGAGGCAGCTGCTTTTGTTGGTAGAAGACCTGTGAGGAGTAGAAGCTGAGGATCGTCTCATACTCTTTTTAGCTCCATACATCATCTTTCCTGTGACGAAAGGGAACTTTAGGGCTAACACAAAAACCACAAAGTTAAAGAGAAGCAAAGAAGCAACCGCTTAACTGCTTCTTTTAAATTCTGACATTATCTTTGCAACATGTATCTGTATCGAACTGTTCAATACAGTGCTTTTGCTTAAATATGCACTTCTATCAAAAAATTTGTTTTATCGACATTTCTTCTGAAGATGCGTTATGTTTCAGGCTCAGAGGATCTAGTTTAACTTAGCTGCATTGTCGAGCGCAGATCCACTGAGAAACTTGTAGCAACATTGAATTTAAAAACTGTACTTCTGAGGTTGAACAAATGTCCATAATTAATTTCAATAAATTACAAGTCAAGAAGGGCATGGACATTTCATTTGCACCCCTGAGAAAAAGGTCCTAGAACCAGGCTCAGGAAAGGCGGCCATCTGCCTCGACCGTTATTAAATTATAGGCGTGTCTAAAGTATTAGCTCGAGGTGGGCTGATGATCATTGCAGAGCTTTTTTACTGTCATCTTGAGGACCAGTGGTTAACACCTTTTAGTATTTGTAGCACCAGTAATAAAATGCATTTGTGCTCAGTGGTGGGGCGGGGATGGGGTGACAAGTTTATTTTCCGAACTTATAAATAGCTCTAATCAGATGCCTTGACCATCAGGCCACACTTAAACGGGGTGACGCATTCAAGCCAGCTGTAAATCCTTTAGAATTAATGCACGTTAACAGTTTGTGTATTAGACTTATTGGATGCATCACAGATTTCTTGATTAGGTCGTCATGATGCATCTTAGTAATCCAGGTAAAAAAATCAAAATGAAAAAATAAGTAGGTCCTCTGGACTCAGCCCCCTGTGAGCAAAATGTGTGAATCAGGACCCCAGCGACAGTCAGGTGATGGAACACATGACTCTCTATGATCAATAGAGCCAATCAAGGCACTAACGACCTATTGTTTGTCTGATGGTCCTCTTTTGCATATCACCAACCTGTTTGTCCATGTGGAGGCAGTGCTTATAAGGCTGAGCTCACCTGAAACTCCTCAGACTGAAGAAYTCTGTTGGAGGAGAGATGAAACGGTTCATTGAAGAAGAACCCATCCAGAGGACTTACCGGTACTTATTTTTTCTTTTTGATTTCCTGATAAGGCATGTAAGACACTTGAGTCTCACTTCTTCCCAGCAGTGTGAAGGGAAGAGGAGGTTTGAAACTACAGCGGGCGATTGAATGCTGACATAACTTCATTTCAGTCACTGAATCTGTTTCCAAGTTATCTGAAAATGAGCCAAATAAACAGCTGATCAATTTATCTTAAAACAATCGCTGGATGTTCAGGAAATGACCAGAGCAGCTTTTTGTGGATCATCTGACATAAATATATTTACTCTGTGACATTTTAATACAAAGAAAAAAATACCTTTAATAATTGCATGAAACACACTGATTTCTGATCAGTCACTGCAAAAATTAACCATCTACAAATAAGTTGAAAAAAGTACTAAACTATTATCTGAATCTTCTCAAATGAACAATTATTAATAATCTGCCAGTGCACAATTGCACTTGGTAAGACTTCTTGAAATAAAGAAAACTTTTCAGGCTAACAAGATTAATAATCCAACATATTTCGCTCTTGTTTATATCGGTCCCCAAACAAGATCAAAAATACATTTTTAGTTCACATAAGATTGTAATATTTGGCTAGATGAACAATTTTTGCAGTGAAGTGACTACTGCTCAGAAACATTAACAGATTAAAAAAGCTCCACTTCAAACCTGGTCGTGACCAGGTTAGTTTCAGAGCACTTTTTTTTGCCATGGAAACATGTGCTTCCTCTTTTGCGGAACCAATTCAATGCTTAATTAATCCAGGTTTACACCAAAGTCCTGACTTATTCTGCTAGTTTTGTGCAATAGGCCCCTGTAGTTTGAGAGCAGGCTGATGTTTATCACGTCTCTGTCACCTCGCTTTAATTTAGCCACTGACACACGTTTCTTTCATCTAACCTTGATGTGAACCTCTGACCATAAATAAACCCTCCCAGTACGAACCACAACAAACAGATACACATTACGAGCAGCACATGCACCGCCCGGGTTGTTATATAATGGTCATGCACCAGGCACTGCACATGTATGATAGGTTAATGAATGCTTTAATCAATTGCAATATTGCAAAAATAAAACATAATTAATGCTTCAGTGCCTGCATTGCTGTTTTACTTTTAAACCATTATAAGGCATTTCAACAGTGACAATATTCTGGCTGTCATTTCTTCAAAGGACACTTTAAAGCAGAGGTGCCCAAAGTGGGGCCCACGGGCCAAAGTTGGCCCGCCAAGCCATTTGATTTGGCCCACCAGCAGTTGTCCTGGTTACTAGATTGTAATTATGTTAAATATAAAATATAAGTAACTACAAGAGACATTTAGATTAAAGTCCATATATAGATTTGCAAACCTTATAAGGTCCCATATACTTAAATTTTAAATTGTGAAAAGTCCCATGAGTCTTTGCTGCCTGAGCATAACTTGAATTTCCTCCATGTCCATGGGCTGAAAGAAAAAAAAAGTGTGGACAACCACACTGGCTGCTTGCTTAATCATAAAAAATAAAACAACTTTACTTAAGAAGTATTTGCATTTCTTATATTATTGCATTTGGCCCACGGCCCTCAGATTGATTTTAATTTTGGCCCCCTCAGGGAAAATGTTTTTTAATTTTGGCCCTCTCAGGGAAAATGTTTGGGCACCCCTGCTTTAAAGGTTATACTTTAAACTTTTAGTGAGAAGGAGTTCCTTTTTTTTGCACGGATGTGTTAAAGGTGAAAGGAACCGTGTTGGTTTTGAATGTAATAAAAACATGCTTGTTTGTTTGTGGGTGTGAGGAGTTTTAACCAATAGGACTCAACTGATCTGATCCGCCCTCATCTGAGTTGAGTGGGGGCATGGGGCTTGTCGTCAGCCCTTCTGATCTGCACGCAGCTTTGACGTCAGCCGTGCAGAACAGATAGCCAAACGTTGAACTTCTTCRAAGGTTTGATGCAGTGTGCACGAGGAACGTGTGCGATGTGGAAATGAAGGAACAAAACTGTATGAATGTCTTGTGTTTGCAGTCTTTAGCCACACGGCAGCAGTGTTGCTAAAGAGACAAAAATATTTCAGGCTTCAAACAGATAACACTCAGACTGCACTGCCTTGATTTTCTTTCTTTTTATTACAAAAAATACAGCATAATTCAACAACACATACATTATAAAACACAGCTGAATAAAAACAAAATGAAGATATGACAAACATTTTCACAAGATCATAAATACAAGATAAATAGGTCAACAAGTTCGAGTCATTTCAGGACCGCTTGTGTTTAAGGTGCACTGGTTCAGAGTTCAGAGGACAAAGAAGTTCTTATTCAGCCGAAGAAAGAGGAGAATCAGACGCGGGTTGAGGCGCTGCTGCTGGTGCTGGTGCTGTTGGTGCTGCTGGTGCGTCTTGAGGTGATGGTGGCACTGATAGGTTTGGAGGAGGAGGTTTTCCTCACCTTCCTAGAGATGACAACAAAGCAGGCATTATAAATCACAGTTTGATTCAGTCGACAATTAATGTTGGAGGTTGAGTGATCGGCGTATAAACAATCAGATTATTTCAAAACTCACATGAAACGAGTTATCATCTTTTTCACGACGTGCAGCTCAGTGTTCAGGCAGTAGCGATAGCCATTTTCACTGGTGACACTGTTGGATTGGATAACYGAGGTTAGTTTTATTAAAACTTGATGCACAAAAGGACAGAAAGTCAAATGAAACCATAGATAGTTTGCTCAGAAACTTGAGGTTTAAACTTTTTTGAATGATAAGTATGAAGCGAATTATTTCACATGTTGGAATTTCAGGTAGCATCTCATGACTTCTTACATAATCTCCACTCTGTCACAGAAGATAGTCGCCGGGTAAAACTGGATGTCCTTTGGACTGGACTTTGAGTCGATGCCATTTCTGAATRGCTGACACAAACAGCTCTGTCCAGCTTCATTGACTAAAAAGAAAAGGGATATCATCAAAAATCCATTTTCATGTAAAAAGTCGTACATCTTCAAATAATGCATAATGAATACAAAACTCACGCTGGGCTTTAGCGATGCAGGCCACCACAGCCAGGAGCAGGAATGCCTTGATGATGCCGGACATAGTTGGAGTTCTTGTTCAGGCTGAGATGACTGAGGTGCTMAAGATGTTTGGTTTGTGAGATGAGGCAGCAGTTTTTGTTGGCAGAAGATCTGTGAGGAGTAGAGGCTGAGGATTGTCTCTTAAATACGATTTTTCAGTTGCCTACATCATCTTTCCTGTGACAAAAGGGAAATTTTCAGACTGGAAAGGGAAACACAAAAACCACAAAGTGAAAGAGAAAARCACCCGCTCAGCCCACCCTCCCTCTTCTGCTTCTTTTAAAGTCTGACACAATATATATATATAAGAGGCATAATAAGAAAAGTGATAAAATTATGTAATTTCCTTAAATGAAAGCATACATTTAAAATTATGCTTTATTTCCCTTTATATTTGTCAATAAATTTTTTGGACATGTAAAGAGCATTAGATGAAAAATAAAATATGAAATTATAAGAAATCATAAGAAGCTTATTTGGTTTTACATTTTTTTTAAATGAACCAACAGAAAAAGCAATAAGGAAGAGTAAAGAGGAGGCAAGTCTTATTCATGTTATTATAACTTTTGTTTTGTAACAGCATAATATATGTCATTTATTAGTTAATTTGCCATGAGATCATATTAGTGTAGGCATGTCTGAAGTTTTTTTTTTTTTCCATTTGGCATGTGCGTCGGTGATATTTGCAGAGCTGTTTTCTCACCTATACTAAGAGCTCCAGTGGTTAACACCTTTAAGTTTTTGCAGCACAAGTCAAATGCACATGTGCTTGGAAAAAAAAACAGAGGCAAGTTTTCTTTKTTTTCCACTGTAAAATCATGATGCGTGGTATTTCAATCTGACTTTAGTGGTGTGATTAAATCTTGTATCTTATCTGATCGAGTAATAGTTGTTTGATTTTGATAATATCAGTGAGGGCGTCTGATCAAATCTGTGTTGGTTTTAAGTGAAATGTTTGGTTTCAGTGAAAGGCATGCGTTAAGTCTGACTTGCAGTTTTATATCCTCTTTCAGTTTTCTGTAAAAACTGACAACACTTAAGTTTTTATTTCCTTCTCTGTTTTTATTCCTGCACTTTTCCTTGGTACAGGCCAGCTCTGCTGTTATGAAACAGGAAACAAGATTAAAAATTTTGTARATATCTCTCTAAACTGAAACTCCTAATTTCTTGTAAGCATTTAACTCCTTGGATGAGGAAACAGCAGCAGCTAGCTGTAACACTTTTAGGTGCAGGTTTGTGAAATTCCAGCAGAAATCTAATAATTAGTTTGCCTAAATAAATGTGAAATGCAAAATTAAAAGATGTGTAAAAGTTTATAAAATAGTGTCCTGGGATTAACATCAGGCCCAAGTTCCCAGCTGCAAGTGAGAAAATAGCAGGATTTGTTTGTTGTTGTGCTCATAAACCAGACTAAGCAATACAAGGCGATAATATATTTCACTGCATTTTCTGTTTTCAAACACTGTAGCTACATGTACACTCATGATGATTGGAAAGTAGGTTACTCAATTAAACTGAGTAAAACATATTTTTTTATTACTGTAGCTATAACAACTTCTCATCTGTAAGTCGGATCTTGAAGTCAGTCAGGAATCTGTGACGTTCTAAGTTGGATTTCTGACTAGTGGTGTCCCGATACTGATACTGATACTGGTYTCAGAATTGGTACCGATACTAGTATTTTTTTACATGTACTCGTACACATAAAAAGTGCCCTGATACTCGGAACCAAATCTGATATTGATACCTGTATACTGACACTCRGTCGAATGTGTTACAGTTTTACATTTCAAGTGAAAAGTTTGTCAGTTTAATGTTTAAGAAAGTTACACAAGTTGAAATAAAACCTTATTTGTTATTTTTATTTACAGTCATATGAAAAAGTTTGGGCACCCTTGTTAATTTTCCTGATTTACCTTTATAAATCATTGATTGTTTGGATAAAAAAATCAGTTAAATATATCATATAGGGGACAAACACAGTGATATTTGAGAAGTGAAATGAAGTTGATATGATTTACAGAAAGTGTGCAATAATTAGTTAAACAAAATTATGCAGGTGCATAAATTTGGGCACCATAAAAAAACCTTAGCTCAATATTTAGTAGATCCTCCTTTCACAAAAATAACTTTCTGTAAATGCTTCTTAAAGCTTCTAATGAGAGTCTGGATTGTGGCTGAAGGTATTTTAGACCAGTGGTTCCCAAACTTTTCAGCTTTTGACCCACAAAATACCAGCAGCAGAGACCTGTGCCCCAGCTGTTGTTGGATCATAAACACTGTTTTCACATAAAATAAACAAGGGCATGGTAACAATATTCATTACACTATTTTTGTCCATTATAATTACACTAACCTTACTCTTTTGTAACAACATAGGCAAAAAATTGTTGTTAGTTCTCATTTTTTAGTGTAATTAATTCAGAAAATCTTTTCAGGACCCCACCTTCATGTTTCAGGACCCCACCTTGGGTCCCAACCCCAACTTTGGGAACCACTGTTTTAGACTATTCTTCTTTACAAAACATCTCCAGTTCATTCAGGTTTGATGGTTTCTGAGAATGGACAGCTCTGTGACACCACAGATTGTCAATAATATTCAGGTCTGAGGACTGAGATGGCCATTCCAGAACATTGTACTTGTTTCTCTGCATGAATGTCTTAGTAGGTTTTAAGCAGTGTTTAGGGTGGTTGTCTTGTTGGAAGAAGCAGCCCCGGCTTCAGCAGCTTCAGCTTTGTCACTGATTCCTGGACATTGGTCTCCAGAATCTGCTGATATTGATTGGAATCCATGCATCCCTCAACTTTAACAAGATTCCCAGTCCCTGTACTGGCCACACAGCCTCACAGCATGATGGAACCTCCACCAAATCTCAATGTAGGTAGCAGGTGTTTTTCTTGGAGTGCTGTTCTTTTTCCTCCATGCATAACGGCCCTTGTTCTGCCCAAATAACTATTTTAGTTTCATCAGTCCACAGCACCTTATTCCAAAATGAAGCTGGCTTGTCCAAATGGGCTTTAGTATACCTCAAGCAGCTCTGTTTGTGATGTGGGCGGAGAAAAGTCTTCCTCTGCATCACTCTCCCATACAGCATCTCCTTGTGTAAAGTGTGCTGGATAGTTGAATGATGCACAGTGACTCCATCAGCAGCAAGATGATGTTGCAGGTCTTTGGTGCTGGTCTGTGGGTTGACTCTGACTGTACTCAACATCCTTCACTTCTGTTTATTCCAGATTTTTCTTGGTCTGCCACTTCGATCCTTGACTTGAACTGGGCCTGTGGTCCTCCATTTTCTCACAATATTTCTCACAGTGGAGACTGAAAGCTGAAATCTCTGAGATAGCTTTCTGTATCCTTCCCCTAAACCATGACAGTGAACAATCTTTGTTTTCAGCTCATTTGAAAGTTGTTTTGAGACTCCCATGCTGCAACTCTTCAGAGAAGKTGCAAAGAGGAGAAAAACCTACAATTGCCTCCCTTAAATGCCCTTTCGCATAATTGGAGTCACATGTGTATGGAGGTCAAGGGTCACTGAACTTA